GCTTTACTGGTTTTGCTTCTCTAGAGAACCCAGCATAACACAATCATGAAGAAGATTTGCAGGGGGTGAGCAAGTGTCCACCATCCTGTCCTTGATCCTGTGGTCTAGGAGCTAATGGTATTACTTTTCTGTTGGATGAGGTGGTTGGTGTAGTAGTGACGGCTGACTTGTGGAGGGTTAATATATTCCTGCCATGGGACAAGGTTGGGCACATGCACACACACATGTGCACACACACACACACAAAATGCAGCTAGGAAAAGAAGGAGAGCTGAAAAGATAGAATAGAAATAGATGACAAGAAATAGGGAAAAAGGAAAAAGAATATTAAAAAAGAGAGAAAACAAAAATGAGCAGGTGAGAGGGATGAAAGTTTAGCAAAAATGAAAGAAGAGGAGGAGCCAAAGGAGCAAGTGACCAGACCGAAAGGAAGAAAAATTGGGCTAGCATGAAGTAGAAAAATGAAGGGAAGATAAGGTATTTAAGGGGGGATCCCTCCAGGTATATTCAGCCAGTGGCCCTGGTAGCAGGCCACTGTGGCAGAGTCCACTCAGTCACCGGAGCACCCACGCAGGAGAAATGAGAGCAGCACAAAAAGCAACCCCCAGGGGAGAAAGCCAAAGCCCCTTTTCTGTGTTTAGTGCGACATAATTCAGTCAGCGATGCAGATGTGGAAAAGGCAGCCCCAGCCCCTAGCTCTGTTGGGAGCAGTCTGCCGATGAAGACGTTGGGCTGTCAATCAAAGCCCTGCAGTTAACACACCAGCTGCTCCTAAGGTGAAAGGACTGCCCTCCGCACAGATCCACAAGTCTCACAATCTCAGGCCTCAGTTCCACTATGTGATAAAAAGCGTTTCTAAAAGTTGGACTCGAGCCCACTACCATGTGTTCGATTTGCAGTTCTATTCATGCAGAGAGAGTTTCTCTTCCCTTTCCCTTACTCCCTTCCAAACTCCATGGCAGCTTAAGCTACAGAAGTCCTGATCTATTTCCCAGTACGATCATGCATAGCTATAGCTCACGGTGAAATATTCTTAATGTGACTGACTATTCTGTGTTGTTAATGCCTGTGGGTTCTGTGGGTTTTTTTTTTTTTTTTTTTTTTCCCCTCCTCCTTGACCTCCTTTGTCTTTCTAATGACTTCTCTTAGACTTCACCAGGTGGACAGGTTTTTTTTTTTTTTTTTTATTTTCCCCAGTTGCTTAACCTGCTCCCTTTCACTGTCTTCACTGGATCAAATACTCTATCTTCACATTAGTTAGTTGTTCATAACTCCAGGATCATTATTTGTAGCCGTGTTACTGAGTTTCTCAAGATCTCTGTTGAAAGAGGGAACTGGCACACGGTCTGTTAGATGCCATCTTCCTATTCCATCATCTGATTCCTTGACTGCTACTTCCATTGATGTTGATTTTGGAACCAAGTGATATGACGTCTTACACAACTTCAATATTTTCTCCACTTATCATGATGGGGCTTATTGGTCCAGTTGTGAGGATTTTCATTTTCTATATGTTGAGGTGTAATTCATACTAACTGTAGTCTTTAATCTTCATCAGTAAGTGCTTCAAGTCATCTTGACTTTCAGCTAGCAACTTTGTGTCATCTGCATATCACAGGTTGTTAATGAATCTTCCTCTAATCCTGATGCTGCATTCTTCTTCATATAGTCCAGCTTCTCAGATTATTTGCTCAGCATACAGATTGATTAAGTATGGTGAAAGTTTACCCTGATGCACACCCTTTCTGATTTTAAACCATGCAGTATCCACTTGTTCTTTCCAAATGACAGCCTCCTGGTCTATGTACAGGTTCTTATGAGCACAATTAAGTGTTCTGGAATTCCCATCCTTCTCAATGTTATCCATAATTTGTTATGATGCGTACTGTACAATGCTTTCACATAGTCAATAAAACACATGTAAACATCTTTCTTGTATTCTTTCCTTTCAGCCAAGATCCATCTAACGTCAGCAGTGATATCCTTCATTCCATGTCCTCTTCTGAAATCCAGGTTGCATTTCTGGAAGTCCCCAGTCAGTATACTACTGTAACTGTTTTTGAATTATCATCAGCAAAATTTTATTTGCATGTGATATCAATGATAATTTCCACATTCTGTTAGATCACCTTTCTTTGCAATGGGTACAAATATGGATTTCTTCCAATCAGTTGGCCAGGTGACTTCCAAATTTCTTGGCATAGACGAGTAAGTGCCTCCAGTGCAATACCCATTTTTTGAAACATCTTAGTGGAAATTCCACCAGTTCCTGGAACTTCATTTTTGCCAATTACTTCAGTGCAATTTCAACTTCTTCCTTCAGTACCATTGATTCTTGATCATGTTCCACCTCCTGAAATAGATGAACACTGACCAGTTCTTTTTGGTAGAGTAACTCTGTGTATTCCTTCCATCTTCTTTTGGCGTTTCTTGAATCATTCAATATTTTGCCCACAGAATCCTTCAGTATTACAACTCAAGCCTTAATTTTTTCCTCAGTTCTTTCAGGTTGAGAAATGCCAAGTGTGTTCTTTCCTTTTGGTTTTCTAACTGCAGGACTTTGCACATTTCATTATAGTAATTGGCTTTGTCTCTTGAGCTGCTGTTTGAAATCTTCTGTTCAGCTCTTTTAACTTGTCACTTCTTCCATTTGCTTTAGCTGCTCTCCATTCAACAGCAAGATTCAGAGTCTCTTTTGACATCCATTTTGGTCTTTCCTTCCTTTCATGTCTTTTGAATGACCTTTTGCTTTCTTCATGGATGATGTGGTTTTTTTTTTGTTTTGTTTTGTTTTTTCCTCAAGTTCATTTATTTGATAAACATTTGCAAAAACAGCTCAGTGTGAACTATAGCATCTCTCAGCATCAGCTTGAAATTTAATAAGCTGGGAAAATATGAACCACAGTGTTCCTTCTTTCTCCTTCCCTTGGTGTGTGTCAGGGGGACTCCTTAGCACTTGGGGGAATACTCTGCCTGAGAGGAAGAACATCTTAGGAGGAGGGACTCGATTCTGCCCCTCAGTGAACTATAATGTCTCAGGAGGTAAGACAGTGGAACTGCTTCCTCCCACAACCCAGACCAAGGGAGGAGGCCTTGAAATGTTCACTGCTCACTCTCTACTCTCTCTCCTTCTGAAGAAAGGAACCAAGTTAGGAAGAGATGCCAAAGTAGGGATCAACAGCCTCCACTTAGTGCCAATGGATCTAGACTGACATTCACGAAAGGACTTCAATTGTAGGGGTTTGAAGTCATCTGCAGTAATGAAAACATGCCTAATCTTGTTCCAGGTGGTAAATGCAGTAGTTAAGTGTAAATATTTAAAATCTATTAATATTTTCTAATATCCTAGGTCTTTAAAAATGTGGTCCTACAAATATTGTATTAGTCCGTTATTGTAAAAGTTAAGGAAATGTTTATATATTGGAGGACATTTTCTTTGTTGGTTACCAGGGGTGGGAGGGAA